CTGAAGACGACACAAAAAGTCACTTGACCATCCAGGTGTGATAGAATGAACTGTTGGCTGTCTAAATGTGGAGCCGTCAGAATCGTATACGGTCCAAATGTTTGGCCGTCCACGTGTTGCTACTCCTGCTGGCCGTCCACGTCTGCTCACACTTCTGGCAACACTCGCACACATGACGTCACAGCGCGCGCCAGTCACGAGTCAGTCGAGTAAAGCGGTCATTGAGAGCAAATTGGACTGTGTATGACTGTATGACTGTATGACAGTATGACTGTAAGACTATATGACTGTATGACTGTATGACTGTATGACTGTATGACTGTATGACAGTATGACTGTAAGACTATATGACTGTATGACTGTATGACTGTTTGACTGTATGACTGTATGAATGTATGACTGTATGACTGTATGACTTTATGACTGTATGACTGTATGACTGTATGACTGTATGACTGTATGACTGTATGACTGTATGACTGTATGACTGTATGACTGTTTGACTGTATGACTATTTGACTGTATGACTGTATGACTGTATAACTGTTTGACTGTATGACTGTATGACTGTATGACTGTATGACTGTATGACTGTATGACTGTATGACTGTATGACTGTATGACTTTATGACTGTATGACTGTATGACTGTATGACTGTATGACTGTGTGACTGTATGACTGTATGACTGTATGACTGTATGAATGTATGACTGTATGAGTGTATGACTGTATGACTGTATAACTGTGTGACTGTATGACTTTATGACTTTATGACTGTATGACTGTATGACTGTATGACTGTATGACTGTATGACTGTATGACTGTATGACTGTATGACTGTATGACTGTATGACTGTATGACTGTATGACTGTATGACTGTATGACTGTATGACTGTATGACTGTATGACTGAATAGCTGCAAGACTGATTGACTGAATAGCTGCAAGAGTGTTTGACTTTATGACTGCATGACTGAATAGCTGCAAGAGTGTTTGACTGTATGACTTAAGGCTACCGTATATTTAACCAGCCTTAAGGCTACCAGTAGGTCCTGATCCAAGTTCCCAGCTAGCAGATATGGGTGGTGACAGAAATCAATATCACACCGGACGTCAAAGAGAGATCACTCATTTAGTAGGTAACAAGGTCATCGATTCATTAGTTCATAGTGTGAAGTTAACACTATCAGCTGACTGATAGAGATGTCATACTTCACACTTTAGGCCACTGCTACAGATGTCATACTTCACACTTTAGGCCACTGCTACAGATGTCATACTTCACACTTTAGGCCACTGCTACAGATGTCATACTTCACACTTTAGGCCACTGCTACAGATGTCATACTTCACACTTTAGGCCACTGCTACAGATGTCATACTTCACACTTTAGGCCACTGCTAGAGATGTCATACTTCACACTTTAGGCCACTGCTACAGATGTCATACTTCACACTTTAGGCCACTGCTACAGATGTCATACTTCACACTTTAGGCCACTGCTACAGATGTCATACTTCACACTTTAGGCCACTGCTACAGATGTCATACTTCACACTTTAGGCCACTGCTAGAGAAGTATTAGCTTCAGCAGATTTTTAAACAAGATTTAGTATTTGAATATTTTAATGAACAATCTTTAGTTATAAATAATCTATTGAACAAGAAATTAATGCTCCTTTTGGCAAGTTTGTTTGTCAGAATTACACCCCCCCCCCCACATTTACACAACACACACACCCATCCAACACACACACCCACACATCCATACACCCATATACCCATGCACTGATACACATACACCCAAACATACACACTCATACAAACACACACCCATGCATCCATACACCCACACACCCACACATCCATATACCCACACACCCACACATTCATACACTCACACACACCCACACACCCACACATCCATACACCCCCCACACACATTCATAAACCCACACATCCATACACCCATACACCCACACACCCACACATCCATACACTCACACATCCACACATCCATACACCCATACACCCACACACCCACACATCCATACACTCACACATCCATACACCCACACACCCACACATCCACACACCCACACACCTACACATCCACACACCCACACATCCACACACCCACACATCCACACACCCACACACCCACACACCCACACATCCACACACCCACACACCCACACACCTACACATCCATACACTCACACATCCATACACCCACACACCCACACACCCACACACCTACACATCCATACACCCCCCACACACATTCATAAACCCACACATCCATACACCCATACACCCACACACCCACACATCCATACACTCACACATCCACACATCCATACACCCATACACCCACACACCCACACATCCATACACTCACACATCCATACACCCACACACCCACACATCCACACACCCACACACCTACACATCCACACACCCACACATCCACACACCCACACATCCACAAACCCACACACCCACACACCCACACATCCACACACCCACACACCCACACACCTACACATCCATACACTCACACATCCATACACCCACACACCCACACACCCACACACCCACACATCCACACACCCACACACCCACACACCTACACATCCATACACTCACACATCCATACACCCACACACCCACACACCCACACACCTACACATCCACACACCCACACATCCACACACCCACACATCCACACACCCACACACCCACACACCTACACATCCATACACTCACACACCCATACACCCACACACCCACACATCCACACACCCACACACCTACACATCCACACACCCTCACATCCATACACTCACACATCCACACATCCATACACTCACACATCCATACACCCATACACCCACACACCCACACATCCATACACTCACACATCCACACACCCACACATCCATACACCCACACATCCACACATCCACACACCCACACATCCATACACCCACACATCCACAAACCGAAACATCCATACATCCATACATCCATACATCCATACATCCACACACCCACACACCAACACACCACCCCATGTGAAAAATGTATTAGGGGAATAAAGTAAAAACGTGAGATACGAATAAAGATGAGACAACTGATCAAAGAATATCTTCTCTCTACACCTCATTGGATTGGTTCCCCTTAGACTGTTGTTTACATGGTCTCTGTTGCTTTCACATAGTGGTTACAGACATACATGCCTCTAGTTTACAGACATACACGCCTCTAGTTTACAGACATACACGCCTCTAGTTTACAGACATACATGCCTCTAGTTTACAGACATACATGCCTCTAGTTTACAAACAAACGCCTCTAGTTTACAGACATACAAGCCTCTAGTTTACACAGACATACATGCCTCTAGTTTACAGACATACACGCCTCTACCGACATATACGCCTCTAGTTTACAGACATACACGCCTCTACCGACATATACGCCTCTAGTTTACAGACATACACGCCTCTAGTTTACACAGACATACACGCCTCTAGTTTACCGACATACACGCCTCTAGTTTACAGACATACACGCCTCTAGTTTACAGACATACACGCCTCTAGTTTACAAACAAACGCCTCTAGTTTACAGACATACACGCCTCTAGTTTACACAGACATACATGCCTCTAGTTTACAGACATACACGCTTCTACAGACATACACGCCTTTCGTTTACAGACATACATGCCTCTAGTTTACAGACATACACGCTTCTACAGACATACACGCCTTTCGTTTACAGACATACAAGCCTCTAGTTTACACAGACATACATGCCTCTAGTTTACAGACATACACGCTTCTACAGACATACACGCCTTTCGTTTACAGACATACATGCCTCTAGTTTACAGACATACACGCCTCTAGTTTACAGACATACACGCCTCTAGTTTACAGACATACACGCCTCTAGTTTACAGACATACACGCCTCTAGTTTACAGACATATACGCCTCTAGTTTACAGACATACACGCCTCTAGTTTACAGACAAACGCCTCTAGTTTACACAGACATACACGCCTCTAGTTTACAGACATACACGCCTCTATTTTACAGACATACACGCCTCTAGTTTACAGACATACACGCCTCTAGTTTACAGACATACACGCCTCTAGTTTACAGACATACACGCCTCTAGTTTACAGACATATACGCCTCTAGTTTACAGACATACACGCCTCTAGTTTACAGACAAACGCCTCTAGTTTACACAGACATATACGCCTCTAGTTTACAGACATACACGCCTCTAGTTTACAGACAAACATGCCTCTAGTTTACAGACATATAAGCCTCTAGTTCCCCCCCTCCTCAACAAACATATACACTTCTAGTTTGCTACTCCACCTCCCACCTCAACAAACCTCACCCCTCTGCCCCCCCCCCCCATCTCAATAAACCACACCCTTCTGGCTCCCCCCCCCTTCACCTCAACAAACCTCACTCCTCTGGCTCCCCCCCCCCACCTCAACAAACCTCACTCCTCTGGCTCCCCCCCCCACCTCAACAAACCTCACCCCTCTGGCTCCCCCCCCCACCTCAACAAACCACACTCCTCTGGCTCCCCCCCCCTTCCAACTCAACAAACTTCACACCTCTGGCTCCCCCCCCACCTCAACAAACCTCACCCCTCTGCCCCCCCCCCCACCTCAACAAACCTCACCCCTCTGGCTCCCCCCCCCCACCTCAACAAACCACACTCCTCTGGCTCCCCCCCCACCTCAACAAACCACACTCCTCTGGCTCCCCCCCCCCACCTCAACAAACCACACTCCTCTGGCTCCCCCCCCCCCACCTCAACAAACCACACTCCTCTGGCTCCCCCCCCTCCACCTCAACAAACTTCACCCCTCTGGCTCCCCCCCCCCCACCTCAACAAACCACACTCCTCTGGCTCCCCCCTCCACCTCAACAAACTTCACACCTCTGGCTCCCCCCCCCCCACCTCAACAAACCTCACCCCTCTGGCTCCCCCCCCACCTCAACAAACCTCACCCCTCTGCCCCCCCCCCCCACCTCAACAAACCTCACCCCTCTGGCTCCCCCCCCCCACCTCAACAAACCTCACTCCTCTGCCCCCCCCCCCACCTCCCTTACAAAACAACTCGCCCAGTTATGTGTTGACATTGTGACGTCAGCCCTACCCTGCCCGCCCCACGCCTTCCCCCAAGTTC